AACATGATACAAGTTTGTTAAAATGGTAGGAGTGGGGTAATTTGGGTAATTTCTTATGATTATAAAAGTATTTTACTGTCATTCTACGTTATATTTGATTAATTTTAGACCAAAAAAATGTAGTTCTTTGTTTTGAACTTGAATTTGTTCTGAAAATTTAAAACAGGCATTTATGATTGGTCATTGAAGTTCTGTAAGCTTAAACTGCAGTCCATTTTTTTTTAAATTCTTTAATTTGAACTTTATTTTGTTCTGAAAATGTTTAATAATTTTAAAAAATGCCTTCAAAGTTGTGAACTGCATCTTTAAATATAACTTTTAAGAAGTCATCCATCCATTCCATTCCATTATCCAAACCATTTTATACTTATTAGGGTCACGGGGAGCTGGAGCCTAACCCTGCATCTTGAGCCACAGGTGGGGAAACTCCCTGGATGAATGACCAGTCCATCACAAGGCTCACAGACTTTAAGAAGTCGTTTTTATTGAATTTCTCCTTCTTTGATATAGCATGAGGTGAAAATGTTCAGTTTTACTATAGCATAATCAATGGCATCCATGTGCTCCATGTGGTATTTGAGACTTTAGTCTTAGCAACTTTACAGATCTTCTTTATGCACCAAGAGCTTGTAACACTCCAAAGAGAAAGGAAAAATTGAAATCGCATCATATGACCCCTTTAAGATCTTAATACTTACATTCTCAAGTATTGTTTAAAGGTAATTGAACCTTTGATCACTGCAGAGTTTCTAAAGTAACACATTCTATGTGAAGCAACAGAGACATCTGGAGACCAGCTGAAGGATCACACACGGTGTGCATCACGTCACGTGATAGGCTGAAGGAGACTTTACAATGCTTTATAATTGTAATTATTATTAAGACATATACTTTTTAGATCAGCACTGTACTCAAAAGATTTTAATGTGAATTTTTTTTTAACGTTTTATACATATAATATATCTCATTAATGATCATATTATATACACTGATAAGGCAACACAAAGTTTGACCAATCTAGCAAAAAAAAAAGAAAAAAAGAAAAGCTGTCAATGGGAACATGAAGAAGAAGGAAGAATTTTCCATAAAAATTATAATGATTAGTTTGAAAAAAAAAAAAATAGCTCAACCAGACAAAATGAGGGGAAAACACTTGCTGGTCAATAAAATTAAGCCAGCCACAGTCAAATTAGGGTCCCTCTGGTTTGTCTACTACCTGTACATGAATAAAGAACAGTTAAAAAATATTAAGAAGTTTATTATATAGACTATTGTATTTCTCTAAAAAGTCAATGTTACCTTTTTGAAGAGCTTAAGGCCAAAGTAATTAGTTGCCATGTTCTTCAGTTTGGTTGCACCACCTACTTTGCATCGCACATATCCATATAGATTAGCCCACTGCAGCACAAATCCCATGATCATAACCGCCTACACACACACCCTCATGGGGACCTCAAAAATGTCCCCACAAGGTCAAAATTTACTAGTATTACTATCCTTGTGGGGACATTTGGTCCCCATAACGTGATAAATACCAGGTACACACGCACACACACACACACACACACACATTAGGAAGGTTACAGCTCACAGCTCAAAGGTTTTACGCAACAAACTGATGCATTCGAGAGAATTTAAAAACTCACCAACCACTTTATGTTGAAGGAAAAAAGGGAACTAAACACAAAGAAAGCCCAAAACACTGGGCACACGATCAGACCAAATCAGAAAATCCGTGAATCAGAGTTTGAGACAACATTTTTACTGGTTCCCTGTAAGGAAATAGATCAAATAAATAGAAATGAAAGAAATCGTTCAGTCAAAAATGAAATTGTCTCATTATTCATTCTCCCTTACATTGTTTCACGTGTATGGTATTTTTCTAAGTGTGGGACACAAAAGGAGACATTTTGAAGAATCTTAGTTAACACAGCTCTTTAACATAAAAGTAATGGTTCACAATTTGACAAGCTAAAAAAGCTCATATTCATGATCAGCATGTTCAAATATGCAGAAATTGAAAGTAAGATTTGAGATTTGCAGCGGAGGACAGTTTTACTGTTTTATTACGTACAATAAATATGAATTTCAACTTCTGTTTTTCACACAAAGCTATCATGTGACTTTTTTATTCTGTTTGGTGCTTGACAAGATCCTCAACAATTCTCCTTTAGTGTTCCACAGAACAAATAATGTCAATATTGGTCTGGAACAACATGAGGGTTAGTAAATGACGACAGAATTTCACATTTGTATTAACCTATTAACAGTTTTTTCCCGTAGCGTTTTTACAAAATTTTACAGTTAAAATTACACTTATTTTTTACAGTGTACCCTTTTAATATTTGAACACCGTGACTCAAAAGAGGAAATCCCTAACTCTTTAAAAGAATTACACAACTGAATGTTTTACACATTCACTAACAGTGACAAAGCATGATCATTAAACTTTGTTCGAGCTGCGATAAAAGTTAGCTATAGCTATATTTTAAAGTTGTACATTACCTCAGTATTGTTAGTCACAATCATAAACTTGATTTTTATTATATGGTTGACTTCCATAGTTGCAAATATTTTTAATATCCTGCAGTATTGTAAAGTCGTGGGTGGTGAGACTCACTGATCTGGATTCAAACATCCAATGACTGTGACCTTCTTCATCAACCTGATTCCACCATCTCAAGCCCACCAACAGCCGCCCCGTCACATTCTTATATAAAAAAAAAAAACAGAAACTTTCAGAAATGTGCTTCATAGAGAAGACCTGATTTATTATACATTCTTGAAGTCAAAGCAATAATAAGATGAAGTATTAAGAGGAGAATGTGTATTAAGAAAGATTTCATGTTGACTCCATGCTCACCTTTACTGTCCAGAAGTCACATGACAGAAGTAAAATGATGGTGACCATGTTTGCAATAAAACTTCGGCTGAGAAACTCACAGAGGAGGTAGATCAAGATGGCACTTGTGCGGAAGAAAAGATTAAAGAAACAAGCCAGAGGATGTCTGAGAAGAACAAACCATTATTTATATACTAATCTTTATGACTGAATTTGTATTTTTTTAAAGAAACAAGAAATATGTATTGCATTAGACTGCTCACTGTAATATGAGATCTACATTCTCGCAGTTTTAAATGTCACTTAATGTCAAACAATTTACTCTAAAAACTCACTTGATATTTGATTTCTTCTCCCTAAACGCATTTTCATCCTCATGGAATAATGGCACTTCACCCTGAGAGTCCTTCAAAACACACTGTATCAGTTCAAGTTTTAACACTACGACATTTAAAGTGATTCTGAATTTTATGTATAATGCAACCGGTATTTTTTTTAAGCTGCACTTAAACATGACCGAAGATGCAAAACTCTACATATAGTCATTGACGGCTCTTTCATAACAGATTTCTTTAAAGGAAATATACGTGACAACTCACCTGTCTGTTCATGTTGGTGCAGGTAGTCTTATTTCCTGCTGACGTGTATGTAAACACACGTGCTCACTCTATGAGAAGCAAACGTTACTAATATTTAATAGGGGTTATGCGCAACAGACTTCCGTATTCTGTTAACCGGGTCTCGTCGCTTCCGGTTCAAGCGTTTTGCATATGCTTAGTTAAATATGAAGCAGTTTTACTCAAGATGCCTTCATACCAATGATGATCATAACCAATGTCCATCACATATGCGGACTGATATCTAAAAGTTTTTTTTTTTTTATTCTTTTCACATTTAGATATAAAAATTGAATAAAACGTCATCAATAAAAACAGCTAGCTAGTTTAACTGATTATCTTAAAAGTCCATAGATATCGCTATTATTTAATACGGCTGTTAACACGTTCTCCGACAAGCGGAAGCAATGAGACCTGTTTTCCGGGTTTGGTCAGTTGATGTTCGACATATACCCTATTTGAGCTTTCCTCCTTTAGGATGGTGGCTCATATAATGATTCCTAAATGAAATCACATACAAAAATAAAGTGGGGTTCTTTTTCAGACGAGTTATGCTACAAAATATAATTATAAAAAAATAATAATAATAATAAATAAATAAATAAAAAAGTTATACAAAGATTTGTACATGCAAAAAAATCCTTATCCAGTATTCACAAACAGTTTTAATTGGTCCATTATCTGACTAGCTGTTCTATGTCACCATTCCTTTTTTTAGTGCTGAATAATAGCAAAAGCCAGGATTAACACAATTTAAAATACAAAACACATTTTTTTTTTTTTTTTTTTTTTTACATATACAAGGTAGTACCAGAGTAACTTGGAGAACTGTGTAATTGTAGCATATGAATGTGCTAATCCTTCTAGGTATTTTTTTTGTTTTTATTTAATTATTTTTTGTAGTATCACGGATAAACACCCCATTACCTACCAAGTCAAATTAGCCAATCAGAACCACTATTTGGCTGTAAATCATTTTGTAAATTTTGGGTTTGCTGACGTTGAATTGGATGTCATGTATTTGGAGGGCAAATTCAGTGGCTAAAGGTGCGTTCATGCCATATTGTAATTACAGTGATTACGAGATTCCAACTTGTAAAAAGCGTTCACGTTCTCGCAGAACTCGTAATTACAACTTGTGAACTGGGAGTTTTCTGAGAGCTACAACTTGTAACACCTGACCCCCTCAGATTCATTAGGCGCTATGTTTAGGCATTGATAGTGCGATAGTTCCGAGTCCAAGGGTGTGGACAGCTCCAAGTAGAGTGTGACGTGTTGTCATCTCGAAATCACAGTAATTACAACACTGTATATACTGCAGTAACAATGTATTCTGCCAACATGGCACCACTACTTTTAAGAAGAAACATGAGCGAGAGAGACAGAGAGAGGGAGGTTTTTCTCCTATCCTATACCATGTTTTTCATGAAACCCGCTGCTAGAAGTACACAACAGAGTGCCAACAGTTTGCCTATTAAATATTTTATAGTAGTCTTGATGTGTGCCTGTTTTGTCATTGTAGTAGATGTTTTACTGACAAAACAGCTCCTGTGAATTTGTCACTAAGTTAAAGAGTGAGCACGCATGTGACAGTCGCACCGTTAGTGACTGACCAAAGGTCACTCTGTCTTTCTTCCTACCCATTCCTTTCACCATGGCTCTTCGACACAACGTCTTGCTTTTCCTTTGCATTTTACATTTTGTTAACGCACTCTACAAGCAATGGATTCCAGACACCAATTTTGAAAACGCTACCAACTGGGATAAAGGCTCTGTACCCTGCGGTAATGACCAAGTGGTTTTTAGCTCAGAGGAAAGTATCAGTGTATGTCGAAACGGCTCACACTATCACTGGAATGAGCTTGCCGGTGGATGGAGAACTGATTCTGGCATCTGGCGCTGGGTTTACTGTAAGAGAAGGTGGAGATCCTGGTTGTGGATCTGGGGTCACGGCACACTTTAAAGACTCCGAATCTATGAAATGGTTCGATCCAACGATGTGGGTGGCTGCGACCACTATCAACGACCTGCACAGAGGTACATATCAGTTTTCAGTCCACGAGGAGAGTGTCCCATGCCAGTATGACGACGTGGTATTTCGAGAGACCACCTCATTCCGTGTGGACGTTTCATCTGATCATGACGTGCCCGTGAAGAGTGTGTCTGTACTTGGGAAAAAGTTCACCAGCAGCTCTGAGTTTTCTCAGTACCTGACATCCAATTCTGGCAAACTGCATTTCCATGGCTCCTCCTCCCTAAAAGTTGGCGGTTCAGGCTGTGAGGCGGCGCAACTATAACGACATGTGAATAATCCCGCCCACTCTAAAGCGGTACTAAACTGCAGTGGAAACGCAAACCGTGCCGAGCGGAGCCGTGCCGTACCGTACCGTACTGAGCCGTGCCGAGCCGAGTCGTACCACGCAGTGGAAAAGCACCATAAGCATTCCCTCATGACCTTACTAGCTCTGGTTCATTGTAAGGTGGAGCTGTCATCTTGAGTCCGTGCAAGTTGCTTTGTGTCTTCCGGTTAGTTCTGATGAATCATATATGATCTTTGTCCTGATGTCAGGCAGGATATTTAGTATAAATATTGTCATACCCTAAGGGGTCATTTGTTTCTTCAGCCATTACGTTTACAGCCTTTTCTTCTCTGTAGGCTTTGAACAGCCCTGTAAGAGATCACACTTATAATAAAAGTTTGCTGACCCCTATCTATTGCAGTTTGCACTAGGCGAGGCAAAAGTAGATGCAGCACTTTAATACTTACCAAAACGTATTGTCTAGACCATTTCCCACTTTAAAGGTCAACACGTTAATCAAAACAAATGATCAGACACACAAAAACAAATTTTGCAAAAATGTCAAGATTATGAATTTAATAGTTACATACCAACAAATAACATTATAAATAAAGTTGATGTATGCATTATAAAACATGGCTGTAAATGCTGTTTGTGTTCACAAATATTGAAGGAAGACATCATGTTAAAGCTCAAGCACAGATAGGCTTTCAAGAACCTGCTATACTGCAGACCTGTGCGTGAACCCTAGTGTGTTTACTGACAATATACTTTAGTTCAACCAGAAATCTACTGTTGTGATAAACGAAATGACTCGGCGGTAATGAGGTCTACGCTCCACAAGTTAAACCTCAAGGATCAACAAAGGGCTCTCTGTGTATGCTAACTCAACCATGCGTCACACGCGTTATGGCCAGATACATGCAAACATTATGTGTAACATAATGTGAGGGTGCTTTTATCCTACATACAGTCCCCACAACAGCAACACTGACATCAGATTCTGTTAATCCATTTACTGTACACTTCACCATTTACAGCTCACACTTCAGCTGTCCATCAACTAGCCAAAGCTGCCATCAGCCTACATCATGTATCCAAATCTCTCCGTGTATTAACAAAAATAACAACGGTACAATTACCACTATGTTGTGTACCAGATACTGAGCTTTGAATGACTAAAAAAGAATTATGAAACATTTGTCAACTTATATACACAAGTTATGTCTTAAATGACATTTTGTCTAGAAATGTGCTGGCACAGAATGCACAGGCACTGAGATATATGCCCCATGGGGGCAGAAATATTATGAGATTAAGAGTGCGTGTAATGAGATGTGACCTCATTTTCACTCTCTGCATTTGCCACATGACACGTGATAACCATTCAATTTGAACCGAATTACCATTTTTATGCATATTGCGTTGTTTGTGTCAGTTAAAGAGGTAATATAGCCAGCTGTTACAGAGGTAATATTTCAGCTATTTCAACATTAGTCCTCTATAAATCTCTCTATAAAAAATTATTACAAGAGACTCTCTCTTCATACCACAGGTTGTTTTCATTTCGTTGACTTCCCCAATTAAACACACCTGAACCAGCTAATCGAGGTCTCCAGGATCAGTAGAAACTTCCAGAGCTAAACTCTGCAGGAAAGTGGCCCTCCAGGAGCAGGACTGGACACTCCTGTTTTAGACTTCTTTTTCTTAAGCATATCTGGTGCATTGGCCAAATGTTGATGAAGTAACTATTACCATCTTCAAAGAAAAACGGAACAATGGTTCTGTAAACTCTTGCTTTTTCTTCAACATTCACTGAGGTAAAAACAGACATTAAGGGCAGAACTTCACAACTCAGTGTCTTCTATGCAGCCTGGGTCCTCCATGGTTTCCATTCTGCGCTGACAGCTGTCTATGATCTTCTTGCGGGGTCCCAAGGGGATGTGAATGCTCTTGATGTCATCATCTGAGCACAGCAACAGGGCATCCAGGTCAATCTTTTCTCTTTTGAAGATAGGAATGAACTCGTTCATGCTTTGTGTGGCTAGGAACACTTCCAGAGGGCTAGTGTCAGGCTCATCATCATCATCCAGCCCCAACTCCACCTCTTCCCATGGCAGCTCCTGTATGTTCCTCTCTTGCAGGCTACGGGCGCTTCCGATGCTATCGTCGTCCAGACCGGGCTCGCGATGCATCCGACTGCGGAGGCGCACGTTATCGACCCGTTCGCTGCTTGCTAGACTGCCTTCATCTCTGCTACCGATGCCAAAAAGTCCACCGCTCACATAGTTGCGGCGAAAAACCATGGTGCCCAGGCCGGGACGGTTGAAGAGCGAGTCGTGGCCCGAGTCTGTGCTGATCTCTGAGTGGTCTACATCATGACCGTGCAGGTCGGGTTCACTGATGGCACGTGAGACAGCATCCTCGCTGTCATTACGGAACATATCACGTATGTTACGACGAGACCGATCCTTAGGGTTGACGTACGTTCCCTGCTTTAGAAACATGACGTCGTTGCCTAGTTGTAGGCCAGACAAAGAGCGGACACTCTTCCTGCCATCTTCGTAAATCTTGAATGTCCCATCACCTTGCTTCTTCTTCTCAAGCTTCTTCTGGATCTTAGTTTTGCCCCTGGCTGTGGCATGGAGAGTAGCCTAGAGCGAAAAGATGGTACAAGTGTAGCTTCAGTGACTGTGGCTTGTAACCAAACAATCAAATATTTAAGCATTTCAGAGCAATTGGAGAAAATCTGACCTGGGAGTATGGCACACTAGTGGCAGTGTTGAAGTGGCGTAACTTGCGACTCAAGGTGCTGCTGGCGTAGCTGGAGAAGCTCATGGCATCAGAGACCGATGCTTCCATTGTCTCTCTCTGAAATTTACGCTCCATACGCCGCCGGTGCTTCTGCTGCAGTTTAACGCATTCCTTGATGCGGCGTTCAGCATCGCGGAAAGCCCGGTCCTTCAGTTTGCTTACTAGCTTGGGATTGAGGGCTGTCTGCTTGGCAGCGATGGAGTCCAGATAGCGCACGCAAGCCATGTGGTTCTTGGTGGCAGCCATGTCCAGAGGCGTGTGGTAGTCGTTGTCCAGGCACCACAAGTTGGCACCAAACGACACCAGGAAGGACAGGCAGTTGAGATGGCCATTGGAGGCAGCCAGGTGGAGTGGCGTGTTCCCCCATATGTCACACTTATCTGGGTTCCCCCTGAAAGTAGAGCCGTGATAGATCCATATCAGGTGTGGCATTTAATTGTGACCTCTGTGAAACTACTACTCAGACCCTATGGCCTTTATATATAATATAATTTGCACTTTCATGTGTTAGGTGAAACTGGATATGGCTTGTCTAAGCTGTCATTATCACTTGTTTTATATCCTAAGAATAGCTCAGACTACACTGGCAATCCCATGATTTTTTGATTATGTTTTCAGCACTGGCTTGTCACCCGTGAAGGCCAGTAAATAATGCATAAGTCTATGAAACTGAAACAACGTGCTCTACACATTTGATATCTAAAATCATCATAAGAAGAACAAACAGGTGTGTTATACAACCCATACAATCTCTTATTTTTCTTACTTACTTAAGTTTTCTTATTTAAGCCAGTAATCCAGGTTTATCTCTCCTAATGCCGACCCAGAGCACTGGATCTGTAATTTGATCACCTGCTTGAATAAGAGGAAGCTAACTGGGTGTCTCCTTACTAGCAAGAATGATAGAGTTGCATAGGTGATGTCACACTAAATTCCTGTGTTCAGACTGTAACCACAGGTCTGATCAACAAAGAACCTAAATTCTGAATTAATGTCAAATCATACCATGATATTCTAATCTATGACCGCTTAAAACTACATAGATAGTGACTGTTCACAATATAACTATTAAAAAATGCAGACTATTCTAGAAAATGCATTTTAAGCACACACTCATTGGAATTTTGTTTACTGAAGTGTTGTGTTGAGATATCTACAAACACATACAGAATTCTCTATTAGACATTGTCACACATATCCATTAGAGCTCAGTATTAATGTTACTTGCCATACGACACACTTTGCACGGACTCGTTACAGTGGGATGCATTACGATATGATAATTGGATTGCTTGAAACGAAACTAAAGTATATCCCCACCTACACCTACAGGTGACTTAAACTGCACTGAAAAATGCTGGTTTCAGAGTTTGAGTTTTCACTTTACAGTTATGCTGTATCTTTCTGTTTTCTGCATCTAGTGCTAGCTGAGCCTAATTAATATTTGATGGGTGACAGGTGAAGCCTTGCAGTGATGCATTATGGATGAAAAAAGCTGCAAGGTTTTCACAGTTAGCAAAGGGAGCTGTGTGCGCTATTGGGTCAAGCCAGAATTTGGATTATGACCTGCTAACCTGCCTGACCTTGATTTTGGCATGCCAATACCTCCATCAAATATATTAACTTCATTTATTGCCCTATAAAATGAGACACCCTTATAAATCCTTATCCAACCCGATTAGACATGTACTGCAGCTGGTCTTAGACCATGAGTTATGAACTGTCATTTTTACCCCACTAATACTGTCAGATAATCAGACATATGACTGGCAGATTATTATAAAATTACGAGAAGTGGTGTATTATATAATGTCATATGCTATCTCCAACCACCACTTAACAATTGACTGTCATATGATCCCCACCACCCATAAATGTCTATTTTTTACTACTGTTGCTATTTTTACCATCATTTTACTGTCCCTAATTCTTAGCAACTTCTAATAGCATGGTTCATGACAGGTCAGAGTCTGTTCTCATGTACCGCAATGCACTAATGACCTCTTGAATGCCTTTTTCTGTAAACGGTAGGTAATATCGTGGGAAATCATGCTTCAGGGATCAGTCAGTGCCATGCTGTGCATTGACTTAATCACTACAGAAGAGAAACACCCAAATTAAGGGATTAATTACTGAATCCCTATGTGTACATAAGCATAAGTTGGTTCTTACCATAAAAATACGATGCTTGCTTTTCATTACATGGAGGAGATAGCCAGTGGCTTTCAATGGTCAAACAGTCCGATTATCCATTCAAGGCTGCCGAACAGTGGGAGAACTTTTCACAATTAAGAGCTTTTATAAAGGGCCTCTAGGTCCGCAAAGGAAACCAGGTCAGCTTTTGTGTGTTCGTTTTTATCTGTCTACTGTCGTCAGCATTAACAGAGCGGCTGTTGATCACATAATGTGGAATTTGTTTCCACGTTGTTAGTGATAAAACAACTCAAATGACACTGCAAATGAATATGGGCCACTAAGAAGTAGCAAGGGCAGTATATCTGTCTTAAGGTGCATTCAAGGTATACATTTTTAATCAGTCCATGCATTAACAGGGAATTGAACCTGTGACCTTGGTGCTGTTGCTAACGGCACATTCTGCTAGTCTGAGCCACAGAAACACAAAAACGTGAAAAAAATACCACTAAAATAGTATTTGTTTTAATAAGAATTTGGTTTTCATGCTTATGGTTTGCTATGCCCAAAATGTAAAAACTTGCAGTTGATTTTTTCTACCTGATCTGACTTGCCAAAGTCAGTATTGCCCTTACCATATTACCTCTTCATTGGTCGACATTTTATTCCATAATGTTACACAGTTTTGATACTGTTTTATGTCTGATGATCGTGTTAGAATACATGTGGGAAGCATCTGTTGTTTCGGTTTCTTCTTCACTTGTGTTTTTTGGAAATTCTGTACAGAAGATGTGTACTAGCGCCCCCTACAATATTACAATGAAAACACGATTCTAGGAGCACAATTATAGCTAAAATATATTTAGGCTTTCTCTAAGTATAAGTCAAGTATACTTAAATGTCATTTTAAGTATATTTCTGAGAAGTACATAAAAAGTAGACTAAAAGTATACTTTCCTATTTTTAGTTTAAAAGAAGTATACTAATAGCACACTTGAATAAAATTCTTTTTCGTAAGGGTGAGTCAGCGCTACATATTAGTTTTGACTTAAATAAACCCAGTTTCCATGCTACATTTTTGGGTTACTTAAAAAAAAAGTTTTACAGTGAGAAAAACCTAACCATTTATGGTATTATGTTAACATGACATGGTTCTCTGTAAACTTGAGACATGTTATATAACACCACCATAAACATCACGAGAAAGGGTTTAAAGTAGTAGATTGGAGAACTGAGAACAGCACGTTCAACACCCAATTAACCTTATAAAATCATCAGCCGTCGTGACACCAGCATTGAGGTGTGATGATACAGTAACGGTGACCAGAGCTCTGCGCCATGCCGGTTCCTGCGTAAGCCGTATCATATGCCGCATATGTATATATCATATACGCCTCGTACATGCACACATACGGGTTAAACTTCCGCTAAATCTACAAACAAAACCATTTCTTGTAATTGATCAAATGTAGGGAGTGGCGCGCAGTCTTACCCTCTCCCTACAATCAGCCGCAGCGCCTCCAGGTTGCCGTGGTAAGCGGCCCATAGGGTCGGTGTCATGCCATCTTCATCCGGAGCGTTCAGGTCCTTCCGCGTCGCTTCTTTCAACAAGTCAAGGTAGCCATCCCGAGCTGCCTTGTGGTATTTGTCATTCATGGTGATCTCGAACCTCAGCCTCCATCACTCTTTCACGGGCTCTGTGCATTAGGTCTGAACCCCTGACCGGCTGCAGCGCGCGTTAGGCACTTGGAGTTTCCAAGGACACCCCGGACGCGCTGCTGCTCGTGAGGGTGTGGCTTCTGCTCGGTCCTTCCAAAACGCAATCTTTTCCCCATTTGGGATTCGAAATAATATAATATTGGATTTAAAAGAATACTGCTTCCTCCTTCAAAGTCATACACACACGAACAGCATTAAGAAACAGTTGTTTAATGCTTAATAAACATTCAAATAAAGTATGCTAAATTTTGAATTAAAGTTACCTTCACTTTTCGCAGTCATTTTTGCAATGACTTGACCAGTTCGTTTTAGTGGATACATGACGTCAGTTTTTATTATCCCTCTATTATTTATTTATTTAGAAATGTTTAGCCTGAGAAGTAGATTTGTGCTATATTGCTTTGATATGAAACTATTTGTTATCATATCTTTAGTTGCTGCTTTGGTGGCCAAATACTTTCACTGTATTTCACGATTTAATGTAAACTGCCATTAATAAGGCCTATTGTTGTCTTCACATGAACGTTGTCATAGTAGTTTTAAATGTGCTGAATCAATATTTTTTATAATACCTCATCAATTTTATTTTTATGGGGGTTATATATAGATGGCATATATATATATCATGATGTCTCATCGCTGTGGCATTATTATACACACCACCACTGATGTTTGAAGATTTATAATGCCTGTAATTGCATGGTGTATGGTAGATGCCAAATTGTTCATACATTTTGTTCTAATTATTTGTGTACTGTGCTAAGTATAAGTCAAGTATACTTAAATGTAATTTTAAGTATATTTCTGAGAAGTACATAAAGCCCATTTCTGAGAAGTACATAAAAAGTAGACTAAAAGTATACTTTCCTATTTTTAGTTTAAAAGAAGTATACTAATAGCACACTTGAATAAAATTCTTTTTCGTAAGGGTGAGTCAGCGCTACATATTAGTTTTGACTTAAATAAACCCAGTTTCCATGCTACATTTTTGGGTTACTTAAAAAAAAAGTTTTACAGTGAGAAAAACCTAACCATTTATGGTATTATGTTAACATGACATGGTTCTCTGTAAACTTGAGACATGTTATATAACACCACCATAAACATCACGAGAAAGGGTTTAAAGTAGTAGATTGGAGAACTGAGAACAGCACGTTCAACACCCAATTAACCTTATAAAATCATCAGCCGTCGTGACACCAGCATTGAGGTGTGATGATACAGTAACGGTGACCAGAGCTCTGCGCCATGCCGGTTCCTGCGTAAGCCGTATCATATGCCGCATATGTATATATCATATACGCCTCGTACATGCACACATACGGGTTAAACTTCCGCTAAATCTACAAACAAAACCATTTCTTGTAATTGATCAAATGTAGGGAGTGGTGTCAAATTGTTCATACATTTTGTTCTAATTATTTGTGTACTGTGTGTTGTGTCTGACAGGTTACAGGTCCTTCAGTTTTACGGCTGTATATTATTGTCACCAAGTGAATATATATGCCATGAGGTGGCACGCTCCTCAGCAGGCCAGCAGTTTCTGCTCGTGGTAAGTGAAGGACACTAACCAAAATGCATATCAGTATCAATTGTGTTATACTGAATAGTACTATTTTAAAATCATCAAATGCATATGACAATTAATCTAGTATATAGCTTTTGTACTATGTTTACTTTTGGAATTCTGCATTGCGGAACTGCTAATAATGTTGCAAGTCGCTATGGATAAAAGTGCCTGTTAATACTGCGTCTTAACATTAATAATCACCATTAATACATTGCTCTCACAGGACACAAAAGAAACAATGCACTATTCAATTGTCCTCAAACATTGACAGTGAAATCGGGTGAGGCTCAATATCGCAATGATTCTGAAAACTGCCATAAGTTGAGTAAATGAAGGCTTAATATTTTGAAAACAGATATGACTGAAGTAAATAAAAGCTCAATATTTGTTGATGACTCAGAGCTGAAGGTGTCTGATCAGTACCTCACATTTCCTTCAACATCCAAACAGAGTGCAGAGAAAAGTCAGGCAGGTAGCCCTCTTGTTATACACTGTTATCACAATAGCTGGGAGCTATTGGCTGGCTTTGGTCCAGTGCAAGCAAAGGTGAAATATTTTTAGATTTCCAATATTGTCAAGTCAGATTTGAGGATGCAGGTCCCTTCAGATGTGAAACAGACGCAAGGCTAGACGTAAGCGGAAGAGAAGACAGGTGATTGGTTGGATACTTATGCGGGTTTAAGTATTTATACAGCTTGAGGAAACTAGACTCCTTATTATTTTGCTTGACTACTTGTAGAAGTTCTTCGCATGCTTCATACTCCACAAATCCGGCAGACTCTTTTCAACTTGGACTCTTAGTGCTCCACTTACAACTTGACAAATTGTGTTTTCTCGTGGACAGCTCTTCTAATTCAAGAAACATGATGACAAAGCAAGACCTTGAAGCCATCGAGAACCAGATATCCACCATTCAAGTTAGCTCCCATGGAGAGACGGTCAATCCGGTACTTGCCCATGGAGGGTTCAAAACAGTGGAGAATGGCCGCAACTGGGGATGGCTTCTGTCTGGATTCATCTCCTTAAACATCCTGCTCCTGGGAATTGCCATAGTGAGCGGAACCGTCTTCAACAAGATCCAGATCACCTCTTCTCATCTCCTGATTTTCCTCATCTTGCTCGTCATTCTCACCACCTTATGGATGGTTTACTACAAAATCCATACTTCCAGGGTGTACCAAGCAGTGCTCTACAAAGACAGTCATGCTGGACCAGTTTGGCTGAGAGGTAAGTCTTCATTTGTACGATCGAATCAAGTTCTGAAAGGGCTGGTGATAAATGGCTTTGAATCAAATTCCACTTAGAGTAAATAAAACTTTCAGAAAGAAAATGTGGGTTCTCACTAAGATGCTGCATAATGTTGTGTACTCTGTAGACATCTAGTCTCAAGTGTTTATGTTCTGCTTGTGTATTCATCAGGTGGACTGGTTCTGTTCGGCGTCTGCAGTGTAATCATGGATATTTTCAAGATGATTTATTACGTGGGTCGTATACACTGCGAGTCGCCTGTGAAAATAGCCTTCCCTGCTGTGCAAGCTCTGTTTGTCATTGTGCAGGTAGGTTAAAACTATAAAGAACGGTTTTAGGTTATTTGTTCGGTTACACTTTATTTCGATAGTCCACTTTAGACATTATATTAACTATAAGTAACTTTGTAACTACATGTGAACTACATGTCAGCTAATCATCATTAATTTGCAACTACATGTCTACTAACTCTCAGAGTAGACTGTTAGGGTAGGTTTAGGGTTAGTAGAATGTTGACAAAGAAAGTGTTAGAAGATATTAAGCAGACAGTCTACTAATACTCTACTAACTACTAGTTGACATGTAGTTGCAAAGTTACTTACTGTTAATAGAATGTCTAAAGTGGACTATCGAAATAAAGTGTTACCATTTGTTCTTGTATTTCTAGATCATTTCAATATATTCTCTTCCATATTCCAGACATACGTCCTCTGGGTTCATGCAAAAGACTGCGTGCAGATACAGCAAATCATCACACGGTGAGTTTCTAAGTGGTCGATGATGTTTTGCAGACTTTGGTTGTTATCTGCTTTTGTCAATTTATTTCCTTGTCTTTTACTTTCTTGACCTCAGCGTGTAGTCAGGAAAAGAAATGAATGGGAAAGTCTGACAAATGTAGGCAAATGATCACACCCTTTCAGAACCGTTAAGGAAATGAGTTGTTTGTAACCACCACGACTAGCCCGTTGACTGTAGAGCTGTATGACGTCTCGGTGTGAAGCAATGAGCATACAAGTTAGTTCAAGGAAATGTTTGCCAGACTGAGGGTTTGATAGGATACTGGCATGTGCATTGACTCTCTTCTATGAAACAGGGCTGCTAGCATTACTGTATAGTAATATTTACTCTCTCATTGCAGTTGTGGTCTGATGTTGACGCTGTCTACGAACCTCGTGGTGTGGATGATGGCAGTGACGGAGGAGTCGCTCCATCAAACAGTGGCTCCAGCCGACCCTTCATACAACAGTTCTTCAAACGATGGTCACAGATTCGATGTCACGTCACAAGGTGCTTAACATCAGTAAACCACATTCGTATAGATAGCAGTCCAACATTAGCCATGAGGCTTCCAATCATCAGCCAATCTGCAATTCTCACATCAAACACCCTGCATCGATATGCTTCATTTGAAGATTAAGTAGAGCATTGCATTGACTCACTCTGTTGTCTTTCTTTCAGGCCGCGCTGGAGCGAGTGAATGCGAGTGTAGCCATAACATGTGCGATGTCTTTGAAAAGGTCTACTACTACCTGTATCCCTTCAACATCGAGTACAGCCTCTTCGCATCAGCCATGGCCTACGTCATGTGGAAAAACGTTGGCCGCCAGATGGATGATCACCATAGCCACAATGTGCGCTTTAGTCTGTGGGACGTCCTAATCGGTCCAATTGCTGGCCTGATCATTCTGGTGGCGGGCCTGGCTACGTTTGTGATGTACGAAGTGGATGTGGCCAAGGAGGAACCAAAAAAGAAGGAGGAAGCTCTGATAATACATTACATCATGAACATAGTCGCCATCCTTCTGATGTCCATCACAACTCTCATCGGTTGTATAATCTTCCGGATTGATAAGAGGGATCAGGTGTCTGGGAAGAACCCTACGCGGAGTCTGGATGTGGGACTGCTTGTGGGATCGTCCCTGGGCCAGTTCCTCATTTGTTACTTCACTATAGTAGCTGTTCTGGCATCAGGGGTCCTGGGGCACATAAATGGGCTCAACCTGGCCAATTCTATTCTGACTGTGATCCAGTTGTGCCTACAGAACGCCTTCCTCATCAAGGGCCTCCATCGGGAGCCTTTCAAAGAGCCGGAGACAGCCACCGTCTTCGCCAACGTCATGGCTGTAAGAGAGAGAGACCCGGAAAGACGGAGCAGCTCTATCGTCC